TGGCCCCGCTCCCTCTGCTGCCCCAGCAGAGCAGCCCCCGGCTCCAGGCACTGAGGATGCCAGGTAAGAGGCACGGCTTCACTGGCAGCAGCTTGGCAGCGGCTCTGGCAGCGACCTGGTATCACCTGTGCCCTGGGATGTGCCATGCAAGTGTGGGCAGCACTACCATGGTGCCACCTGTGCCCCTGGGATGTGCCTTGCAGGTGAGGGCAGCACTGCCATGGTGCCACCTGTGCCCTGGGATGTGCCATGCAAGTATGGGCAGCACTGCCATGGTGCCACCTGTGCCCCTGGGATGTGCCATGCAGGTGAGGGCAGCACTGCCCTGCAGGAGCTCTCCTGCCATGGGTATGGATCCGCAATTGGGCTTCTGAAATAACACACAGAATTGGTTTTACACACAGAATTGCTCTTACACAATAGCATCCATGGTTCTGGGTGTTCTGCAATTTGTCTGCTAATATAACATACACAGTTCTGTCTGTTCTGGAGTTCATCTTCTAGCACACTGCAGTTCTTGGGGGAAAAAGTGATGATGACAAATACACTCTGTTTCTGCTGCCCACACTGACCCTCCCAGGTTATGTTCTGGAGATGGGTACACAGGTGATACCAGTTTGCTGCTGAAAGAGCAAAACTTGCAGTGGCAATACCACAAACCTGTTGGTCTTGTTTGTTGTTTCTTGTTTGTTGTTATCTGTTTATGTGTTGTTTTGTTTATTTGTGTGTAGCAGGTGTTAGTGATGAGCAGACTTGCTTACAGGAGAACTGGCAGTCAGTTTATCATATTTCAGGATTAGTTCCTTTAGGACAAGTAGCTACACAGGCTCTTTGCAGTTTAATGTCTCTTGAAGCTCTGTGCTCGTGTCCCTGACCTCCAGGGCTAATTGCAGCAGCCTGAGTTCCTCTGTGAGGGATGGAAGCAGCACTTTGCTGTCAGCTCCCCAGTGCTCTGAGAACTGTGACAAACCACGTGTGAAGGCTGCAGTGCCTCCAAATGTCAGCCTCAGGGTGAAGCCCCACCGTGGGGTTGGATGCAGCACTGGCTCTTGTGCACAGAGCTCGTTCTCAGGTGACATATTTACAAAACCTGCTCGTTTGGAAATCCCCTGCACACCACTGTTTCCTCCACAGATGGTTTTTGTGGCAGAGGCAGCTGAAACGAAACCTCAGGGGTCATGTGTGAAAGTTGCACTTAAAATCTGCACAGGCTCTGTGCAAGTACTCACAGTTTGCTAACAGCCCCTGGAGAAACAGGGACTGCACAGTGCCAGTGGAAGTGAATAAAGCCGGTCCTTTGGAGGGCTAAAGTGCTGCAGGTGGCTCTAAACACAAAGCAGTGAGAGAAGCCTGCAGGTGCACGGCCACAGGAGAGACCCTGCCCAGACCCACCCCAGCTGGCTCATCCTCCATCATCCCCATCAGCCAGCACTGCCACAGTGCCATCAAGTGCCACATCCACGGGTTTTTAACCCTTCAGGGGCTGTGACTCCTCCCCTTCCCTGGGCACCTGTGCCAGGGCTTGGCAGTTCTTTCCATGAGAATTGTTTCCTCTGTCTGCTCCACAGCACGGTTTGTGAGGGAGCAGCTGCAGCTGAGCCACACAAGGCATCAGGGTTACACCACCTCTAACAGGGCTCTTTCCTTTGCAGCACCTCCAAGGCCAAGGAGAGCACGAGTGCAGCCACTCCTCCCCCGGTGAGGAACGGGCAGGCAGCCCCAGCCCCAGCCCCAGCCCCGGGCCAGGCAGCGCCCAGCAGCTCCCAGCTCGCTGTCAGCCAGCCCCAGAACGCTGCTGGGCCCAGTCCCCACGCCCTGAGGAGAGGTGGGTGCTCACTGCTTTCCAGGCAATGTGTTCCAAGCCTTGAGGTGCTGCAGGAATGCTGCTGAAATCACTTGATCAGCATCTCTGCCCTTGCACAGGCAGCACTTTCATCTGTTGGCTTGTCCCCAGGGCCTGGCTGTAAAGCAGCTGTGACTTTTGGACTCTCTGAATGGTGACAGTGTCACCAGTGCTGTTTAACAAACTCTCAAAAGCTATTGATCAGTAAATGCTTGTACTTGATAATGCACCACTTCATTTTGATAACACAGCTGGGGGGTTTTTGTCCTGCTGATTGTTTTCTTTGGGAGCTTGGTTTGGAATCGAAGAATCCCAAAATGCTTTGGGTTGGGAGGGACCTTAAAACTCCTCTTGTTCTGTCCTCTGCCATGGGCAGGGACACCTTCCACTGGCCCAGGCTGCTCCAAGCCTTGTCCAGCCTGGTCTGGGACATTGCCAGGGATCCAGGGGCAGCCACAGCTGCTCTGGGCACCCGTGCCAGGGCCTCAGCACCATCACAGGGAGCAATACCTGCCCAATATCCCATCTAACCGCACTCCCTGGCAGTGGGAAGCCATCCCCCGTGTCCTGTCAGTGCCAGTGATGCTGACATGTCCCCTGTTCTCTCCACAGCTATGAAGAAGCCTGCACCAGCCCCCCCCAAGCCAGCCAACCCCCCCCCGGGGCAGCCAGGCAGCCAAAGCTCTTCCCCAGCTGCTCAGCCTCCTTCTGTCTCTCCCAAGCCCCCGGGCAGGA